GCAAAGCATGAAAACTGCATGTGCAATGAGCAAATATGACTGTCATCTTTTATATACCGTATAGAGGCTGGTCTGAATAAAAAAGTATTGAAAAAACTCTACAATCCCTTTAAAAAAGCAAGTCAACAACAAGAAGGAAATATTGTCCAAACAAAGAAACAGACTTCACTGAATGTAAAGGTGCTGAAAGTTAATGACAGATATCCATGGCAAAGTATAAATCTACTTAAAGTGCATGTAAAGACAAAACTTTGCTGCTCTATCATCCGTTGAGGGACACAGCTATGCCTACAGCATACCTCTCAACAGTCCCAGATTGTGTGGGACTGTCCTGCCTTTTCAGTTCAGTCATACTGTCCCTGCATTGTGTTCACAGTGCATTCATAGGCGAATCTATATACAATTTGCATATGAATATCACCCCATATTTTGCATAAAATTGATCTGATGGCAAGGCTTGCATATGAATGAACTCTTGTGGCTCTTTCAAATTCAGATCCTGGCTCTAGCTCATTCTTGTCCAAATCCCAGGGAGACTTTTCCTGCACGTCTCACATTGCACTACTGAGGGGAAGACTTACCTCTACCACTACAGATGCCACTTCAGATTTCGACCAACTGGTAAATTTAAAGGAACATGGGGTATGTATTGTGGGGTGGGCTGAACTATTGGTCTGTACTAAGGGGGTGGTCTGTACTGGGGGGGAGTTCTGGGATGTGGAGAGTAAATCTGTACTTGGTGGGGAATCAGGACTGTTAGGGGAGCTCTGTACTATGGGGAATGTTGGCTTGGGGGGGGGATATTTGAACAGGGAGGCGGGGGTTCTCTGCATCATTCAGTCCTGAACCCTGCACTCTGTGTGTTACCGATCCCTGCATCCAGTGTATCCTGACCTTCTGAACCCTGCACTTTGTATTACACATTCCCGAGCCCTTCAGTCTGTGCATTATGCACTCCTGACCCCTTACTCTGTGTGTTATACTCCCCTGAGCCCTGTACAATAGATGTTGTGTTGTACATTTCATATTCCCGACCACAGCAATCTGTACACTGGGCTTCACCCTAAATCAGCCAGCAAGTGTAGATTTCCCAGTTCTTTCAGTATTCAGTTTCTCTCATTGTCAGCAAAAAATTCTTAAATTTTCTCCAGTCAGTCAAGAAGCACGAATGTACTAGTTCATTAAGTATACTGGTGTTATATTTGCACTGGTCCTGAAATTGGCAGAGACTGCCCATATGTCCAATTTGCACAGAACAAGTCAGTATATCTAGAGATTCCTTGTGCAGTTATTGGGCCAAGAGCTGCATAGTGTTTCTGTCCTGTCTCTGTCATTTTTGTGAGTCCCCAGCAGGGGCGGACTGACAACTCATGGGGCCCCCGGGCAATAGGGGATCATGGGACCCCTGTGTCCTTGCCCAAACTCAAAAAAGCCTATGAAAAAGGTACCAGGGGCATTTCATGGGGCCCCCTACTGTCCCTGGGCCCTCGGGAGTGCCCGAGTTTCCAAATGGTCAGTCCGCCCTTGGTCCCCAGCAGGCTTATGCTGTGCTGAGATTTTCCAATGTTTGCGGACCGAATGTGGGATTTTATTCTGAAGCAGCTGTAGATGGCCACCTTGTGAAGGGGTTAAATATCTTCTTTTACTGCTGGGCTCGCTTATACATTAACGTAGGTTGGAGGCTGGCCACTAGAGAGATCCCTCCTCTCTATTTACACCTTGGCATGTACTTTTTTCTAAGACAGCCTGGTCTTCTGTACACACGTTCTATAAGGTTTTTACTAGCTAGGTCATGGTGTCTGGCTCTGCAGATTCTATTTTCAGTCAAAATGTTCTGTAAGCGGCTCCTTCTTGCTCCTAGTTTTCTATTTGACCCTATCTTGTTGGGCCGATGGCCTGTGTACTTTGGTTGTGGCCATTTCTCAGTTTGGCCTGCGGGGGGCATGTCCTTCAGTTTTCTATGTGGCTAGAATTCATTTCTGTAGATGGCAGTATAACCGTAGATTTCTTACTATCAACTTGTGTCCCATATTGGACTCTGAGAAAAAGATTTTACAGTTAGCACAAAACTCCTATGTATTTCATTTTGGATAAAATGTAGAGGGGTTAGAACCCACATCAGTTTTTTCCTCTATTTGTCCACCCAGGGAAGATTTGTCTTAGGTATTAGCCCCGATGAGCAGTAAAGCAAAATCTGAATATTTTTGAGTTGACAGAAACAGGATTTTGTGGGGAAGTCATCCAATGGATAAATCTGTTCTGGTGACAACTGTCAATAATATATTCATATCACACTCACCTGTTCCACTCTTAAGCGTAGGGTGTTTCTCAGATAGCAAGGATAATTTGTGGCAGTGTTGAATTGTAAGTCTTGTTAACTTGCTGCACATTTTTACTGGCAAGTTGTACACTTGCAGAGCACTTCAAGCACAAGTTCTAGTTGAGACTTTTCCTATTTGTAGCGAATGTGCGTGGCAAGTCTCTAGCAAGAGTAAAGTTGCAGTGGTGAGTTTACAGCAAGAGCTCTGCAAGTCTACAGCATGAAAATTCAGCCACAGTGACCCCTGTGGTGGGATGACTGTTGCACAACATAACGGAACCAGAACTTGAAGCGGACTTGCAGAATGTTTGCAAAGAAAGTTGATCTGGAGTTATGCAATGTAGACTTGCTGCAACTGTACAACAAACTTGTGAAGTCTGGCAAGTCTAGCAATATCTTGGCAAGTTATTTTCAAACTTGCAGCTCAATTGCTTGCTATCTGGGTTTCCCTCTGTGTGCAGCTGCTGTTTCTCCATGTTTGAGCAACCGGACCCCTTGTGTTCCCTAGTGACTTTTCTACCCGTTTCCTGTGCCTACCAGTGTTATTTCTGTGAGTTCTGGTGCTCTCAGTTTCTTCCTTTACCACCATGTCCCCTTCTATACTCCAGTCAGTTACCTGCTTCTCTGCACCAGTGCAACTCCCTGTGAGTTCCAGCAAGCCTCTCATTATCTGCAGCTGTGCATTCCCAGCCTGTGTTCTTGTCTGTGCCTCTGGGTGTTCCCGTGCACTCCTACCTAAGGCCCCTTTCACACGAGCAGACTGATAGGGTCTGCCCGTCCATTTTTCAAGTGAACCCGATTGGACGCTCCATTGCTCTCCATGGAGCAGTGGATGTAAACGGACATGTGTCCATTTACACCCACCTGCATCTGATCCGATCCTGTCTGCTAAAAACAGATGAATGGGGATCCATTCTCAATCCGTCTGGTGGATCGGATTGAATGACAGTCGGATGGAAACAGACAGGCGGTCCGTTTCCATCCGACAGCCCATAGAGGACAGTGGGCAGTGTCCTCTTATGCAGAGTGGACATGGACCTGTCATCTGCTTGCTCAACAGGGATCAGCAGACAGATCCCCCACTGAGTAAGCAGATACACCGACGGTTCCGTCCCATGTGAAAGGGCCTAACACTTTAATGTTGCCTTCTGCCTGGTGAATCCACAGCTACAGTGCTGCAAGGAGATTTCACCTACTCTCAGTGGCAATCTGCTGAGGTGAGATCTCCTCTTACTTCCTGCTGTGTTTCTGTGACAGGAAATGGAGGAGAAATCTCCCTGATGGGACACAAAAAAGCCTAACATGGCTATTAACCATTTGACGCCCGGCTAATAGCCGTATGGCTGCCGGAAAAATGCACTAGCTTTCCGGGAGGCCGCCATTTGGCGTACTCTCGCACATGCGCAGTTCGCACACTTGCAGAGCCGTGCGGCGGCGCAATCTGTCACCGGCCGTGTACCTCGGACACGGCCGATGACAGATCTGAGTATCGGCCCCCTTGCAGGTACCATGTGACCTGCTGTGACCAATCACAGCAGGTCACATGACAGTTGTATACAATGGATGGCTTCATTCATGCCATCCATTGTATACTAGTGTCTAGCTGTGAGTGGTCACAGCTAATCACATGCACATGTCACCTGATTAGCTGTGGCCAAATCACAGCTAAGCACAAAAAAAAAAACAAACAAAACCCCTGAATGAATCAATGTCATTCAGATAAATGCTTGCTTATAGCAAAGTAATTCTTTGCTATAAGCAAATTGTGTAAAAAAAATAAAAAATACTGATCACTTCCCCAAAGTAGTACAATGTTACTATGGTAAAAGAAAAAAAATGTAATAAAAAATTTCAAATTAAAAAAAAAATAAAAAAAAATAAAATAATTTTTTTTCGCACTGTCACCAGTCAGTGTCCCTGATCACCGCCATGCCAGTTATATGATGATGCTGTACTGCACTGGTGACAGTATGTAAAAAAAAAATAGTGAAAATTATTTTTTTTATTTTTTCATTTTCCGAAAAATTATGACACAAAAAAATACAACTTCAAAAAACTCGCCATGCCTCTTATGAAGTACGTCGGACTGTCTACTCTGCAAAAAGGGGTCATTTGCGGGATATCTGTACTATTCTGACATTCTTGGACCTCAAGAAATTAGATTGGCTGTCAGTACTTCAGGATTGATCAATATTCAGATCTATACCATAGTTTGTGAACACTATAACTTTCCTACAAACTAAAAAAATACATCCTAATTTGGGTTATTTTCACCAAAGACATGTAGCAGAATACATCTCGGCCTAAATTTATGAAGAACAATTATTTATTTGCAAACTTTTCTAACAGAAACAAAGAAAAACGTGTTTGTTTTTAAAATGTACAGTCTTTTTTTGTTAATTTAGCAAAAAATAAAAAACCCTGGCGATGATTAAATACCACCAAAAGAAAGCTCTAGTTGTGTGAAGAAAATGATAAAATTTTAGTTTGGGTACAATGTTGTATGACCGCGCAATTGTCATTCAAAGTGTGAGAGCGCTGAAACCTGAAAAATGGCCTGGGCAGGAAGGTGTAAAATTGCCCGTTATTGAATTGGTTAATTATTCTGCCTTTACACCCATTTTGACATTGTCATCATACCACTAACATATTGGGCTTGCCTCTATGTTGTTGCAGGAGATCACAATATTTTACATGTCTCACCTGTCTGGTCTTCTGTCTCTACTTTCTCTGTATCTTCCTCTGTTAGTTCGGCCTCCTCTCTTGCTTTTCTTACAGACTCAGGAGGCCATCGCAACTCTCCACTTTCTACATCTATTATGTCAGTTGGTTCCACCACAATAGAGGGCAACCTGCCTCTCATCTTCAATGGAACTTCTGCTTCCTCTTCCTCTGGGTCAGGAAAGATCTTAATGAATTGAAAGAATAATTTTGTGAAAAGAATACTAGGAATTTTGAGCAAGGTTTACACACACAGAAGTTTGAGAAATGTGAAGCTTATTTGTCATTTTCCACATTGTACCTTTTTCTGTTAGACCAACACTATCCATAGTTGCCAACATTTCAAAAAAACTTTTAGGGACACTTTTTTTTCTCTGTATGTTCAGAAAGCCAGTGTGGGCGGAGTTGTATGTTAATTCAGAGTGGGTAGCGCTACACTATTTTGCATTTTATTTAAATCATATACACCTATTGGTTATAGGTTTGAGTGTCAGCAGCTTAGGGTTAGGGAGGATCCATATTTGCGCAGGAGGACTTAATACAATCAATTTGGAGTGGGGCATTCATTTTATGGGTGTGGTTTATACTGGAAAGGAAAATGGGTGTGGATTAAATAACGCTAAATATTGGGCATGGTTTAAAGGGGGTGTGGTTAGAGTGAGATTTTCTTGCAATTTTGCTCTCCACCCAAACATCCCAAAAAACAAGTAAAAAACACACATAGAAATCTCAAAAAACTTTAACAATGAAAACAAAAAAACTGGTCCACATTCACTGGTTGCTAGAAGTTACAGCACACCATTACCACTCGCTGATTAGTTGCTAGCGGTTACTGCACATCATTACCGTTCACTGATTGGTTGCTAGAGGTTACTGCAGTTAGTACAAAAGAGGGTCAGAGACTGCAGGCATTGTGAAGGAGTTGGTCAGATACTGCATGCATAGTACAGGTGATGGTCAAAGACTGCAGGCGTAGTACAGGTGATGGTCAAAGACTGCAGACGTAGTACAGGAGAAGGTCAGCATCTGCAGGTGTACTACAGGAGAGAGTCAGAGACTGCAGGATTACCACAGGAGAGGGTCAGAGACTGCAGGAGTACTACAAGAAAGGGTCAGAGACTGCAAGTGTAGTACAGGAGATGGTCAGAGACTGCATGTGTAGTGCAGAAGATGGTCAAAGACAACAGACATAGTACAGGACATGGTGAGAGACTGCAGATGTAGTACAGGCGATGCTCAGAGACTGCAAGCATAGTATAAAAGAGGATCAGAGACTGCAGGCATAGTACAGGAGAGGGTCAGAGACTGCAGGCGTAAGCTTGTCCCCATCAGAATGACCCCATAGAGCAGGTGTCCCCATCAGAGAGTTTGGTAGTAAGAACACAGAAGAGATCTTTCAGCTGCAGCTGCTCTAGTCACTGTTGGCTGCAGCTGAAAGATCAGTTCTGTATAGTAAGAGCTTAGAGAAGTATCAGACAGCCTCCCCTCTACTATTCCTGGTCCTAGAAGAAGACAAGAAGTACCTGCCCAGGGAAGAGCTTACCTGGCTTGTTCCTTCTTTATGCAGGCACAAACTTTCCCAAAGAGGCTGCACAGCTCACAACAAGGCTGGATCCTCTACCGTTCACACTCGTTCAGCAGTTCCCTCATGACTGCTAGAAGTGCAGGTCTCAGGGGTGCTCAGTGGGAGAACAGTACAGGCACATTGGTGACTACTTTTCCATATTCGGTTATGGTGGACTAATCTGCAGTGCAGCTGCTCTCATGAATTAAACTAATGTCCCGGGCTCTTCTACATCAATCCCCCTAAGGGTTCTGGCAGATTGCTACAAAAGTGACTGGAACAGAAACAGCGGCACTGCTGATTACTCCGCCGCTCCCGAAAATTGAAAAATAGTCCCCAGTCTGCCGCGACTCCCCTTCCCACTGAGCAAAGGGGCCAGGAATGTTTTTAATCTTTTTAACTGCTAAGCTCTTGCAGAAGTAGGAAGCCCTTTCTGAGGCTGCCCCCACCCTGATCTCCGATTTCCAAGACATTGGCCGGGACTGAGCAATGGTGGGACATGATTCAAAATATCGGGACTGTCCTAGGCAATCCGTGACAGTTGGCAACTATGGTTGAATCCAACTAGGCCTGTAGATATGGAAAAAAGAACACAGACCAGGACCTAAGTTGTGAAAGCTTACCAGTGCAACATACTGGGTTGTATTCTTTTTTTCGCATTACACTTCTTTATTTGTAAGTTTTCAGGCAAAACAAGTACTGTGTTTCTAGACCTGCTAAAAAGTGATCTAAAACAAGGGTCTTAAAACTTTTCAGTACAAGGGTACATTGTATATTTTAGAAATATTCACAGGCCAAATACTCATTAGGGTCTCCCTTACATCAGAGCCCCCATCAAGACTCCCCCCTTACACCAGGGGTTCCTATTAGGGCTCTCCCTTGCATTTTGGCCTTCATTGGAGACCACCTTACATTGGGCTCCCCATCAGAGTCCCCCTTTCAACCGAGTACCCATCAGAGTTCCTCTCACATCAGATTCCTCATAAGAGTGACCCCTTATGTCAATGTTCCCATCAGAGTTGTTATTTACATCAGGCCTCCCATCAGAGTCCCCCCATACTTTAGGGCCCCCATCAGAATTCCCTTACACCAGAGTCCCTCTTACTTCAGAGCCCGCATCACAATCCCCCATTACATCAAGTCCCCCCTTACATCAAAGTCCCTCCCTATATCATACATCATGGTTCCCATCAGAGCCCTCCCTCTCCCACATGAATCCTCAATCTCTGCACATTGAGGATATCCCACTGACCCTAGCTGCTGTCTGGATACAATAGGAAATCGGATTTGGCTCACGGGTTGTAGTTGGAGATCTCTGATCTAAAAGATTGCTTTGCAACACAGTTACATGGAAGATCCTTGTGATGTCATCTTGGCTAATCCAGCTCTGGCCTACTTTCTGGTGAAGCAACTGATCACTGCAGTAATATAATATTGATTGCTGGTTACAATTTCTAAATTCTATTCTACGTGATCAATCCCTGCAAAGCTGCATAGGGGGCTGGATCACATGTCCCACACACTCTTTTATACTCAGGACCCAGTGAATATGTCCAATGTCCTTAATAATATGTGTGCATATTGCATGTTCAATAAAGGTTTATGTTAGAATACGCAATTTGGAAACTTTGCAAATACAAACCTGTAAAATTGGTGTCATCTTACTAATTTTTGTGCACATATTTCAAAACGTAAACTGTTCTAAGGGCTAATTCACACCACATGCAGTTCAATGCATTTTTTTCCCTACATCAACAACGCATGGAAAGTAGGCTATATGGTTTCCAGTGGCATAATTCACACCATAAAAAGTAGAACACGCTGCATTTTTCCTGCACTTGACTGTTCGGGAAAGTGGTAAAACGCATAAAATGACACACCGAAACACATCAAAAATGCATAAAAAATGCACCGAACCCCAGTAGAGTGAGAAAAAAACAGGGAAAAAAAAAGAAAAACAACTGTTTGGAATGTATCCAGAAATGCATAAATAATGTGTTAAAAGTGCGCATGCAGAAATGCATCTGGAATGACCCTTAATGAGCAATTTACACACCTACTTTTTCAGTATGTATCACATCGTAACGTCAAAGGGCAAAAAAGCTCTCCTAAATCATCACCGTCAGATTGTACTCTAAATGCTTCAGGTCTCTTTATTGCCTTTGGTATTGTAGTATATCCGGCCAGTTGGGGGAATTGTTTGAGTACTTACACATAGCATTGCTTTGTAGGGCCTTCAATTCTATCTGTGGTGAGCAGAAGAGTGATTGCTCTGCCTATGACAGCATACTGAAAGATTTATTTCTACTTTGCTCTTTTGTGAAAAGGGGTCCCATTGGTCTTGTTCAGCTGTCTGCTGCAGACCACTTCTGACCCATGGGCCACTAATGTCCATCCCCCCCTTCTTTGGTAAATCCATGCTAGGCTTCTCTGGTTCAGTCGAGATCTGCCTGTGGATTTGTTATTAGATGCAGATTTTTTTGAAGGATCAATTGATTTTGCTTTAACGGCTATTATGGCAAAATCAGAGAATTTGTTTTCTTATTATTGTGGTAGTCAGTCCTTGGATTAATGGAATTGATGGCTCCTGCTCTATGTTCTATCTGTAGCCAGGTGCCAGCTATATCATTATGCCTTTCAGGGACAATTACAGACAAGACTATGATTACTCCTTTTCCCCCTAGTGCCCAGTGCTGGGACTCCTATATCACTTCCTGTTAGCAGTGTGGATCCAGTTCTTCTGACAGCAGAAGATCTTGGGACCTGTAGTCCTATAGCCAATACATACTGTATTCCTGAGTGCTGACTGAATTACCACTACCAGAGAGCTGGCAAATGATAGGGATGCTGGGAGAACAGATATATTCTACGGCAAGGGACTGGTTCTCTCTTGGCATGGGATTCAGAGCTGAACACAGGGGGACTGTCATTCTCATCCAGAGACAGACTGTTGGCCTACTGCTGTGTGACTCAGCACATCAGTTCAGCGCAACGGTGATGCCAATCATCACACTGGAATTGGATCAGTTTATCTGCATTGGGACTGTCACTATCTGGTCTTCACACAGACATCTTTGTTCGCTGTGCTGACAGTCTGTCAGGCAGCAACTCTGCACCAGGGGCGGACTGACAACTCGTGGGGCCCCCAGGAAATAGAGGATCATGGGGCCCCTGTGTCCTTGCCCAAACTCAAAAAAGCCTATGAAAAAGGTACCAGGGGCATCTCATGGGGCCCCCTACTGACCCCAGGCCCTCGGGCAGTGCACGAGTTTCCAAATAGTCAGTCCGCCCCTGCTTTGCACATCCCTGTAAACAGCCAAGAGCCTGTGGAAGAACTCTTGCTACTAGAAGGCCATGCTATCCATGGGATTGGTGAATGGGCGGATGCCCAACCTCTTTCTGTCATCATTCTAGAGACACTGCATGCAGGAACCTTTACACTTTAATATCAGGAGATCTTTGCTTTGAACAGTACCACAGCCTATCTGTTTAACGTCAATGAATCACCAGTATTCACTACTGTTTATGCGCCCACCATTGCTAGCAGAAGACAATGGACACCACCATATCACCAACTT